TATATTAATATTTATGGAGTACATAGTGATGTTTGAATACATATAATGTATGATGGTCAGATCAGGGTAATTAGAATTTCCATCATCTCAGATATTTATCATTTCTTTGTATTGGAAACATTCAATATTCTCCTATTTGAAACTATATATTATTGTTAATGATAGTCATCCTACAGTGATAGAGAACATTAGAACTTATTTATCCTATCTAGTTGTAGTTTTGTATCTTTAGTAAATCTCTACCCTACTAATCAATTTAAATAAAATTTATTGATCATCTACAATGTGCCAAGCACAGTTCTAGGTACTTAGGATATACATTAGTCAGCTTTTTACTGGGATACTTTTACAAAATATGCAACCCTGAATCCAAATGTGTTACACGAATATTTATATCTTGCTCATGGATCTATGAGCTGTCTGTAGCTCTGCTGGGCTTTGCTGGGTTAGGTTGGGTTTGGATTTAGATGTATGTAGGATTCAGGTCTGCTATTTCCATCTATTGTCATAGGAACATGCCCAAAGAAGCAGCAGCTACCTTGGACATGCTCTTTTCATGGAGGAAAGCCTTTGTTTAAAAGTGGAACACTGTCATTTCTTCTTGCGTTCCATTGACCAGAGCAAGTGCCAAAGCCAAGTTCAACATGAGTGGAGCTGTACTCTTCTCATGGGGAAGGGGTGGGATATATTTGCTGAATAAAAAAAGAAAAAAAAGAAACTCTATAAAAAGCATAGCAATAAACAAAACAAAGCAATATACCTGCACTTGAGGGTGTTTATATTCTTGTGGGGAGATAGGTGATAATAACATAAGAGAATAAAAATATGTAAATGTATGTTAGAAGACAAAATTTTAAAGAAAGTGGTGAGCACAACACTCATTGAAAAGGTGAGCTTTGAGCAAAGACTTAAAGGTAATGATGGATTTAGCTTGAGAATATTTAGAAGAAACTCATTTCAGGCTGCAGGACTAGGCTTTGCTGAAGTCCTAAGCTGAGAGTGTGCCCAGCATGTCAGAAAAAGAACAAGGAGCAAATACAATGGAATATTACTCAATTATAAGAAACGGCAGTTATCTAGCAGCTCTTTTATTTTCCTGGATAGAGCTTGAGCCCATTATCAGAAGTGAGGTATCACAAGATCGGAAGAATGGGCTCCACGTGTACTCGCCATCAAATTGGCACTGACTGATCAACACTATGCTGCTCACACAGTAGTAATATTCTCCAGGGGTTAGAGGGTTGGGCGGGTAAACTCACAAGTAATGGATGCCGTGAGCATTGTAGAGGGGAAGGCCATTCCTCTAATCCTCACTTCAGTGAGGTAAAGTCATAAAATGAAACCAAAATATTTGTACCCTCAAAATAAAATAAAATAAAAAAATAATAACATAAACTTAGAAAGATCTTTATAATCAGGGATCAGATTTGATCTCTTTTTGGATTTAACTCTTTCATTCGAGTGGAACTCATTTAATTGTATAGTGAAAGAAAAGACTTACATGGATTTTTACCCCCCAATATCTAACTTATTGACCCATATATTTTGTGCAATAAGCCTTCATGTCCTTTTTAAACTGAATGCTTTATTTTTACTTGAGCAAAAGAATTTCCTTTTTACTCCCCATGATCCAGTAGTCTATAAACTTTAAATTAAGCATGAGAACCCCTTCTTCAAATAAAATTTTCCTTAAGTGACAAACACACAAAATAGATGCAGATAAAGTTGAGCTGTGCTGGTTGAAGAAAGAAGGCGTCACCTGATGTCATCTCCTAATCTCTTTCTTTATCCCAGCACCTCTGCAGAACTGGGAAGGAAAACATTTCTTAAAGCAAGGCACATTTCACATGCTTTCCTGCTTTTTGTGTTTTTGCTCACACGGATTGCTCTGTCTGGAATGCCCTCCTCGCATCTAGATTGTGCTGGAGTTACACCTCTGCACACCTATGAAGAAATCTCCAGTCCTTGCGTCCACAGTCAGGTCTTCTCTCTCTGAAATCTTAAATATATTCATCTCTCTCCTGGGGATACTTAGTCATTTATACCTTGAAATAAAACTATTGTTGACACATCGAAGCTGGGGTTAGACAGACATGAATTCAGGTACAATCCAGAACGCATTCATATAGAAAAGAACATTTGCCTTATGCATGAAAGCAAAATAAATGTCCTCTACTCACGTGTAAGCTTCAAAATCCCCGTTGTTGATAGCTTCGATTAGTTGTTCAGTGACTTTGATAATCTCCTGCTTTCGTGCTAAAGGTAAAGATACAGAGTTGGGTGAGAAAAAAAGACAAAGGCCATATAAAATGTTATTCTAATAACATTGCTATTTCCCTTAAACAGGGTATTAATATTTAAGCTTCATCCCTTACGGAAGCAAGTGTGGTGATACCTTCTCGACTATCTTGCCGCTCAAAGTGCATAGGCCAGAAGCACCCGTCTCTCTGGGAGCTCTTATGATAGAAACATAGATTCTCAAGTCTCACTCTTGTCCTACAGATTCAGAATATGCATTTTAACATGACTCTCAAGTGACTCCCGGGTACAGTCACATTTGGGAAGCACTGCCGCTGTCTATTTGTCAGAAAACAACAGGCATCCGAAAGGTCGAGGCTATATTTTTAAAATTAGTTTCTACTACTTTAACCAACTTGATTGAATCTGTAAACATATTTCTCTTCACCGTTAACAAATGTAATTAAAAATGATAATCTCAAAAAGTACTGCTCTAGCCATATATGTTTATGTTCAGAGTAAAGATAATATCTTGCATTGGGACGCTCAACTTTATATGATTATTTGCATCTTCTTAGCATTCAGCTCAACTAACCCTACAAAAGAGGAAGCCCACACATGTTCGGCCATCATATTTAGACGTACAGCCTTTTGTAAACTCTGCACATTGGAGAGAAGACATCTGAATCAATACTGTAGATGCAGACAGGTAACAAGGTGGAACAGCTGTCAAACGCAACACCAATCACAATTCGTTTCTATTCCTAGCCCACAACTGCCAAAAATATAAATAGTCAGTTTGGCTCAAATCCCTTCCATTCAGTAAATTTGTTTCTCATTACATCTGCCTCAAGTGTTCTTTCTCTTTTTGGAAAGCCTGTGGTGTCTGTGTCATTCATTTGGCGATTATGCATATGCTACACCTGGACACCTTCTCTAGTTAAACCAATGTATTACTGTTTTACGTTTTTCTTAAACTCTGTACACTGTGTAACATGTCTTTCCCGTTAACTTACAACTTCTCTGAGAACACAGAACATGTCGTTTTTTTGTATCCCTTAAAAAGCTTCGCTCAATGTCTTTTCTAACTGCGGTCCCCAACCCTCTCCCCGACCCCGCTGCACATTAGGAGGCGGCTGCACCCATAGCTGCTCCCTGTTGCTGCATCGCCACCCGAGCCCTGTCCCACGTCAGATCAGTGGGGGCATCCGACCCTCGCAGGAGCGCGAACCCCACTGCAAACTGCATGCGAGGGATCCAGGTTGCCGCTTCCGTGAGAATCCAACACCCGATGCCCCCGACCCCGGACCATGGACAAACTGTCTTCCATGAAGCCAGTCCCTGGTGTCAAAAAGGTTGGGGACTGCTGTTTTATAAAATACGTGCTCAGCCAGGAGTGGTGGCTCACGTCTGTAATCCTAACACTCTGGGAGGCCAAGGCAGGAGGATCACTTGAGCTCAGGAGTTTGAAACCAGCCTGAGCAAGAGTGAGACCCCGTCTCTACTAAAAATAGAGAAATTAGCCCAGCGTGGTGGTGTGTGTGTCTGTGGTCCCAGCTACTCAGGAGGCTGAGGCGGGAGGATCTCTTGAACTTAGGAGTTGGAGGTTGCAGTGAGGTATGATGAGGCCACTGCACTATAGCCAGGTGACAGAGCAAGATCTTGTCTCAAAACAAATAAACAACTCAAAAAGTTTGTAGATTTTACCAATTGAGACTAATCCTTTCTTGATTTCAGAAAGTTTTCTTCCTAAGAAAATCACTGCATGAAATATCTAAAATATTAAATTTTGCTGGATTTTAAGAATATTGTGATACTCCCTTAAAAGAAATAGACTGTCAGAGCACAAAAAGTTACTTCCAATCTACCTTAATGGGGCAGTGAGGCTGCTGTTCATCATGGGAAAAGCTGACCTCTGGGTTTTGTTCTTCATTGATTAAAGGAACCAGTTTGCATATTTTATGAATCTGATCTTCATTAAGCAGATTTTAACCACAAACTTAAATGCTTACATTCACTTTCAAACTCCAGGTTATTCAGGTTATGACATTCTTTATTTAAAAATAAATGTTCTCTAAACCTAATTTTACTTCATCGAGACTGTATGAGACTATCTCATAACAAATACAAATGACAGACTATCTTATAAAATGGGATTAAGTTTGCCCATAAAATGGTTTCAAACAATGTCAAGATCTGTAATATGACAAAATCACCCTATGGGTTAGAATTCACATTTAGTTACATAATTACCTTTCATGTATGTAAAAATAACATGATATGGGATTTCCTAACTTCTAACCACATCTAGAACATTTCTTGCCCTTGCTCATTTGATTGATAAATGTCAATGGTCCACGCAACATCAAAACATACTGACAGAAGCGGTGGTGGGGAGTAATTATGTAACGGGGATGTTGCCAATGACACATTTTAGCTTAATTTAGTTGGGCAATAGGTGATTCATCTGTCTGTGGTCTCAACAGTATGAACATTTGGCAAAAGCTCACGACAGCTGACCTGATTCTGGAACACAAAGGACATCGGTGAGGAACTCAGAAAATGAGATTGCGAAAATGTGGTTACCAAAACTTCCTCCTCATGTGAAATCTTCATTTAAAGCTAACAGATTTTTTAGCATGATAGAGGGCCGATGGGAAAACTACAGTTGAGAAAACATTGTCAATTTTTAAAAACTAACAAAAGGAAGAAAAAAACGTACGTACGATTAGTACCATTTGTGGAGCTTCCTTAGGCTAAGACTTAGTTTCTAGAGTGTGACAAGTTCAGCATCACTTCCTGAAGTTTCTGAACATTTTGTATTCCCTCATAAGCATAATATGGAATTGGAAACATCATGTGTATTAGTATATGGCCGTCTCTTACTCTCTGAACCACTATGGAAATATACATTAGCTCTGCATTCCCCAACCCCAGGGCCATGGACTGGTACCAGTTTGTGGCCTGTTAGGGACTGGGCCGCCCAGCAGGAGGTGAGCGGAGGGCCCGCGAGCAAAGCTTCATCTGTGTTTACAGCCGCTGCCCGTCATTCGCATCACCACATAAGCTCTGCCTCCTGTCAGATCAGCGGCAGCGTTAGATTCTCATAGGAGCGCGGACCCTACTGTAAACTGCGCATGGGAGGGATCTAGGTTGTGGCTTACGTGAGAATCTAATGCCTGATGATCTGAGGTGGAGCTGAGGCAGTGATGCTAGCGCTGGGGAGCGGCTGCAAATACAGATTATCATTAGCTGAGAGGTCTGACTGCACAATAAATGTAATGCACCTGAATCATCCTAAAACCATCCCCCCACCTCTGGTCAGTGGAAAAATTGTCTTGCATGAAACCGGTCCCTGGTGCCAAAAAGGTTGGGGACCGCTGCATTAGCTCTTCAATATTTTGCATGCCACAAGTGGCTTAAGTTTTATCCTGCATAATCAAAGCAACACAAATTGCCTTCTCTTTTAGCTCTCATGCTTAGAAACAATGGTGCTCTAGCTGGCAGGACAGCAAACGGGTATTAGCCAGGATGCTTGTGTGCGGCATCATCAGGAAAGCAACGTGACTCCTTGGCTTGGGAGGGACCCGGAACGCGGGAATCTTTAGAGCGCTTGTTTCCCTGGGGCAAAGGTGCTTGAGTGAGTCACAAGCGGCACATGACAGCTGACTCTTTAAAGGAAAGCAGACGCTGGAAATGAATCATTTGTATATAGTAGTCAGCTTGCGGTTGGAACTGTTGCCACAAGCCCAGCACCTGCCCTAGGGGAAGAGTGAGGGTTTGGTGCTAGCTAGCTCTACTCTCAACAGCAGGGAGGCGAAGGACAGCCACTGTGCCAAGGTGCTTGGATAGGCACATTCTTTGGGGAAGGTCCACTCTCATCTGGCCTTCCCTCTTCCTGAATAACAAGTAATGACCACTTCAAAAGTCAATGTGGGGAGAGCTTGTGATGTGTCACTCATGACACCAAGATAAGAAGAGAGTGTACTAGTAAGGTATTTCCTGAATACCAGAAGCTTCTTCCACTCCATAGCTGGCCATTTAATCACAGGAAGCTGATTGTCCAGTAGGTTTATTTCTTGAATTGAAGGGCTCCAACCTAGACCCACCGGTCACAAAGTCATTTCTGGGGATTTCTAAGTTCGTAGGGAAAACAGAGGAGAGAAAAGCAAGTGGAAGTGTGATATTCCAGACTCTGAGGGCAATTACTTTCCACGCAATTATGCAAAAGAATTGGGAACATTTTCACATTCAAATTCATTTACTTCTGACTCAGTTATTGTTCTAAAGAAGCCTGGAAGAGTAAGATAAGGGGTGAATGGTCCCAGTGTTTGAATACCAAACCCAACCCAAGAACTGAGAGTAATTATGTAATAAAACGACTTAACAGATTTCAACGTTTCCTCAAACATTATCAGATTTGATTATCACAATACCTTGAGATAGGCAGACAGGCACTATCTCTTTGTTTAACAGAGAAGTACAGAAATTACAGGCATTGCTCAGTGTGTGGGGTTTGCTGATTCTCCTGCTACCCACTTGGAACTCTCTTCCTTTCCCTTAACCCTTTTGTTTCTCTCACCGCTTGTCTGATCACGTGTTCTCATTATCATTTGCCATGTTATCCTTCTCTACCCGGAATTTAAATGGTTCAATTCCTTTTAAAGACTCAATGTGAGGTCCTCCTCTCGCCTCACGCTGTATCCCTGTGGTCCTGTCTATACCAGCGTTTTCAATGCCGTCTATATCCCAATGACTGCCAAATCGTGACCTCCTTCCTAGCCCTTTCCTCCAGACTTGTGTGTCAAGACCGATCTTGGAACCTCCACTTGGAAATCTCAAAGGCACCTCAAACCTAGGCTGAACTGGGCGTAAGAAGTTCTGTTAATACCGTTACAACCTAACTGCTCTTCCGTGGATTTCCATCGTGGAGAATGGCAACATCCTCATCAGTCACACGGACCAGAAAGAAGCCTGAGGATCACCTTCGACTCCCTCACCCCAGCCCTCCCACCCAA